AGTGGTGGAAATCGGCAGCAGGATCTACATTGACGACGGACTCGTATCCCTGCAGGTCAAGGAGATTGGTGAGTGAAGCACTGTCGACCATTCATAAAATCACTTCTGGTCTATAATGTAGAAAAGTCTTCAGCCCGTTAATATGTTCTTGTGTCTCCAGGTTCTGATTTCCTCATGTGCGAGATTGAGAACGGCGGCACCATTGGAAGCAAGAAGGGCGTGAACCTGCCCGGTGCTGCTGTGGATCTGCCAGCTGTTTCAGAGAAGGACATCCAGGACCTGCAGTTCGGTTTGGAGCACGGAGTCGACATGGTGTTCGCGTCCTTCATCCGCAAAGCAGCAGATGTGGAGGCTGTCAGAGCCGTGCTGGGAGAGAAAGGCAAAGACATTAAGATCATCAGCAAGCTGGAGAACCACGAGGGTGTCCGCAGGTGTGTGTGTGTGTGTGTGTGTGTGTGTGTGTGTGTGGATGAAGAATTATATGTAGATCTTTCATGTAAATCCTCGTTAGAGTTCATTTATCGTATTTATGGATTTTTGTACATTTTGGTATTTAAATTATTCAGGGTTCCTATCATTAAAAACCTGAAAAAATTAATGGAAATTCAAAATGCAAATTCCAGGTCCTGGAAAAGTTATGGAAAACAATATTTTTCCCAAAGTCATAGAAATGTAACCAAAGTTGCATCAAATATAATTTATATTTTATCAAATCGCCGATATAGTAATACTATAACGATAATAAATACTGTTTAGTAATGAAACTTAAAATGGCATTTAACTGACGAGGTATTTTGCTGGTGAGAGATTTTTCACAATCACACCCTCTAGTCTACAGTGGCTTCAGTCTGTGGGAGCTAGTAAGCCTACTATTTGTTTTAGATAGGCACAACATGTCTCATATGCAGACCTTATTCTCCAGCTTACCATGTTAAAATAAAAATGTTTCAGTGGTACCGCTGAGAGAGTGATTGTTTTTGGTCATGGAAAATGAGGTAAAAGTCATTGGTGAAAAAGTGTATGAACCCTGATTATTGTTTCCTGTGCAGATTTGATGAGATCATGGAGGCCAGCGATGGCATCATGGTTGCCCGTGGCGACCTGGGAATTGAGATCCCAACAGAAAAGGTCTTCCTGGCCCAGAAGATGATGATCGGTCGCTGCAACAGAGCTGGCAAGCCAATCACATGTGCAACTCAGGTTAGAGCAAAGCACAGTACACCACTTTCTCTACAGCTGATTATTATTTATTAAAGAGTGGCTCCACGGTCCCAACACTGGACGGCTTGTCGCGGGGAGGAGGTGCTGCCGTACTGACATTTATTGTTGACATTTTTGTTTTAGCTGAGTGTTTTTAAAAAGAAAATGGTATGTCTGTTTGTCTTCTGTCTGTGGGATGATGTTTGCCCTGGTGTTAAGCAGTATTCACATTATTACTCTACCTATTTTTCTATAAAGTGAAGTTACCTACTTTTGATCCATGCTCTGATAGAATAACTGTATGCTGTTGAAAAAACCCAATCAACAAAGTAAAAAAAAGCTGCTTAGACATCTGAATATCTGCGGGCGTGTTAACCTAAAGGAGGGCAGACTCGGTTTAATCTTCAGAGACGGAACTTGAGCATTGGTTGATAAAAGGCTGTTTCTTCCCACTCAGATGTTGGAGAGCATGATCAAGAAGCCCCGGCCCACCCGCGCTGAGGGCAGCGACGTAGCCAACGCCGTGTTGGACGGAGCCGACTGCATCATGCTGAGCGGAGAGACCGCCAAGGGAGACTACCCTCTGGAGGCGGTACAGACACAGCACAAGGTGAGTTCATCTATACTCAATACACATATTCGAATATTTTATCAAAATCAAAGCATAAACAATTGTTTTGTTTTTTTAAATAGAGAAATTAAGGGGAGGATCTTGCATGATTTTCATTTTCAACTAAGCATGATAACACTTGGAAGCTGCTCTTTCTCGTTTCCTATTTTTTGTGTTCTCTTGAACACATCAATGACTTTTGGTTTTCTATGACGCAGCACCTTTTTATATTTTCCTCTTGGCTTAACATCTGCTATAAAAGCTGTCAGCAGGATTGTTAGGCCAACCGGAAATGACTTGTTTATTTTTCCATCCGCTTGTTTCCAGTTAAGCTGTCCACCTGCTTTATGGTAGGCTAATGAAAACTCAGTGGAGGAACAATCATCTTTTTAATCAGTTTAATAATAATGACATTGAGATTTCAAATAGATGGAACATCCTTCTTTATCTTCCAAATGATAGGAAGTAGTGTATTTATTAAGGAGCCATTGTGTTTGTCTGTATTTTAGAAACATCTTTGATTCATTCATGATTTACTAATTATTGATCATTACCAATGCTGACGATGGATTAAGAAAATATCATGCTTAAAATGTGTTGTGTTTTATGTTCAGTCAGGGACAGACATAAGTAGAACACTTTTGAAACTCATGAATAAGGTCTTGATGAATTCTTACATTAGAATCACCATGGATACTGCACTTAATGCTGTCTTCTTGTAGCCTAGCATCCCCTGGTCTGTACGCTGCTATGCAGATGCAGGAGTGACTCAGCATTACTGCCCCTTGCCTTTGAGCTTGCTGCCCTAAGCTGAATTTGTATCAGGTTCTTAAAAATCCAAAGGAAAGCAGCCACTGACCCAGAACCGTGCTTTAGTAGAGAGACTCGTGTTTTGTTGACTTAACGTCTTCTTAGCCCTTTCATCGGGCGTCATCTTCTTCTCATTTCCTTTAATGCTTCTGAAGCTTTTCTTGTTCCTTCTTCCTGTACTTCTTTTAACCATTTCTTGACACTATTGTGCAGTGCATGGCATTTTCACGCAAACTCTTTTTTCTCCTCCCAGTTGATTTAAGATTAGATATATATTTTTTTTTTAGTTTTTTTAATTTAATCAAATGTATTTTGGGGTTTTATTTGATTAAGCTAATCTTGGTCCATATTATCCCTAACCATATTTTTCTTAAGGATAGAAATTCTTTTTGTAACTTTATCCCATCAGGACAGTTCACATAGCTCCA